CTGGGCAGCGTCCTCCTGCAACAGCAGCGCCTCGGTGCGATTGCTGATGTGGCGCCGCGCCGACGCGACCGAGCCAAAGTCCATCAGCACGGGCACGTCCCCCTCCGACAGCAGGATGTTGGCCGGCTTGATGTCTCGGTGGGCCCACGGCGGCGAGTGCGAGTGCAGCGCGAGCACGCCCTCGCAGACCTGCGCAAAGAGGTGGAGCGCCCGCCCCTCCTCGAGCCGCTTGCCGCCCTCCATGAGCCGCACCGCCAGGTCAAGCAGCGTGCCGTCCGGGTAGAGCGGCATCAGCAGCCGGAACTCCTCCGCGCCGCTCGCCGTCGAGACGACGGCATGGTCGATCAACGGCATCAGGTTGGCGTGCTTGAAGGACTGGTGCACCTGCACCTCCCAGCGCGCGAGCTCCGACGCCTCGGGCAGCTGCGCCAGCACCTTCTTCAGCGCGTACTTCTTCTTCTCGTCGTCCTCGACGAGGTACACGAACGAGAAGCCGCCCTCGGCCAGCAGCTTGACGACGCGGAGGTTGCGCTCGTTGACCTGCATCGACTGGGTCGAGCAGGTGACGGCGCAGCAGAGCGAAGTGACCCACGCGTAGATGCCGCTGAGGACGTCCGCAACCATCGCGAGCGGGCCGTACGCCGACATATATGTGTGGATTGTCGTTTGTGCCGTGTGAGCGCAGGCAACTTCTGGAAAAGAAATAAAGCCCCCGCGGCGATCAACACCGCAACTCCTTTTCTAAATTTCACAAAAAAAAGCGAGCACAATTGCGTTACATGGGCATGGCCGGGGTTTCTGCACCGAACGATCTTACTTTCGGTCTATCGAAAGTGTTGATCTATAACATGCCTCCGGGGCTGGAAGAGGACCGCCGCAAGCGGCGTGGCGTGGAGCGGTTGAGCATCCCTCCGGGGGCCCCTCTGCGCCGGGGAGGCGTTGTTGGAGGCTAGGACGCAAGCGTCCGTCGCCCTTTTCAAACTCGGGGCCCACTCCGGTCTCCGCTGCGCTCCGACCCGAATTTGGAGGGCCTATAAAAGTTTAAGGTGTTGCGCTGCGCAAAAGGGGTCGGACACAGGGGTCAGGGCGCAGCTCATGCTAAGTCCTAAGTGCTAAGAGCTAGAAGAGGAGATAGAGAGAGGAGGAGAAGTGAGCGTCCAGGCAACTTCTGGAAAGGAAATAGTGCGTGCGCTTGAGCCGGACTTGTGAGCCGGACGGCTTTCATTTCTCTCTGCGTTGTTGAGCCAGGACTCAACATACTCGTTCTGTTGCCGTCGCAAACTGTCACTCCCCTTTCTCCCGGCCGGGGTGGGCGCGCGCGGCCGCGGGGGGCGGCTGGTGTGCGGGATGTCTGTGGGCCCGAGAGCGATATGCCATGTCCGCCTTGCGTTTGTTTCATAACATCGAAGGCTAAGCTCAAAAGAAATAAAAACCCCGCTGGAGAGCGGTTGCGCATTCCTCCGGGGGCCCCTCTGCGCCGGGGAGGCGTTGTTTGTTTTGTTGTTGGAGGCCCGAGTGGTAAAATGCAATCGAATTTGCCCGAGTGGTCAAGTGCAACTTTGGCAATTGGTAAAAGTTGCCCGAGTGGTCTGATGGGGAAAAAAACCAAAGCGGAAGGGTGGCCCCGAGAGCTACAGGTCAACATCCCCTCCGGCTACGACAATGCGAACCTGATCTGGTCCTCACGGGGTTGACCCGTCTCCTCCAGATCGAGACGGACTTCATGAACGGCCGAGCAATATTTCTTCATTACTATTATTAATTGATGCTTTCTGCACGGCTGAGCCCCCCCCCCCCCCCCATCCCCCATCCCCCGCGCCCATTCCCTGCCCTCTCCCGCCTCACACTCCGTCAGAGCCCCCTCCCCTCTTGCACAACAGGAATTTCGACAATTAACCAGCAATGGTGGAGGAAAGGCGCAATTCAGAATGATGGGCTTGCCCATCCCGGAGTGGTTCGATCCCACACAAATCCGAGACGGTGACGGGATGCTGGCTCTGTGGTCTCAGGCCCAGTGAGGTAGTGCACGAGACTATCCCGGATCCTGCTGAACAAGCTCCTCTTGTAGCTCGATCGGTCACACCGCCATCGCCGTCGGGGAGAGGGGGGACGACACTGCTTCGGCAGCGTGCACCTCGATCCTGTACCGTGTTTGTTATGACCCCCCCCGATGAACACACCAGTGAGGGAGGGCGAGACGATCGAGGGGTCCCGTACCATGCGGAATCGACCCTATCCAGTGCTCAAGTGCTCAAGGAGGCTAGGACGCAAGCGTCCGTCGCCCTTTTCAAACTCGGGGCCCACTCCGCTGCGCTCCGACCCGAATTTGGAGGGCCTATAAAAGTTTAAGGTGTTGCTGCGCAAAAGGGGTCGGACACAGGGCTCAGGGCTGAGGGAGGGTGTAGAGGATGTAGAGTGTAGAGCGCTGTAGAGCTGTAGAGATGTAGAGCGCTCTGGAGCGCTGTAGAGCTGTAGAGCTCTACATCCGCCGCGTGACGATGCGCCTCCGTTGTAGAGCGATGTAGAGGCGCTCTACAACGTGAAATCTCTACAACAAACTCTACATCATAAAGCGGCGAACGGCCGCGAACGAGGCACGGTCGCTCTCCGACATGAGGCGCGTTGCACTTGCCAGTGCTGCCCTGGCCTTCTGTCTGCCCGCCCAATGGGTGGCAGGTGCCTCTGCTGCTGTGACATGCCTCACGGCTGCGACTGGCCGGCGCCTCGGCGCGTCAGCTCGGCTCGGCGTAGCGATAGTGGCCAGCGCAACTCGCCTGGACTCAACGCTCAGCCAGGAGCTCCCGCACGCGCTGGCGCGAGGCATGGGCATGCAACGCGTCTGAATGCTCGCCTCGCCTCGCGCAAATGCGACCGTCCTCGCAGCCGACAGTCCACCGCCTGCTAAAGAAGCACTGCGACGAATGCGGCACCGGCGACACATAGCAGGCTGGTCATGACGCAGTTATAGGGTGTTGTGTGCCGTCGGAGTGACTCTCTGTGTGTCAGGGATAGTCAGGGCTGTCCATCAGAGCTCCAGTAAGCTCGGAGACACCCCACATTAGCGCGGCTCGACCTCTTTGAGTCACTGCCTTCCCGGCGGTTTGGCTGTAGAGCCTCTACAACAAACTCTACAGCAAAATCGCGCTCTACATCGCTCTACAACGCACCCGCATCGTCACGCGGCGGATGTAGAGCTCTACAGCTCTACAGCGCTCCAGAGCGCTCTACATCTCTACAGCTCTACAGCGCTCTACACTCTACATCCTCTACACCCTCCCTCAGAGCCAACCCGACCGACCCCCCCCCCCCTCGGTCTGTGCTCCGACCGACCGGACCCCCCCTCCGGTCTGCGGTCTTCCGCGGCCGTCGACCGGACCCGCGGTCCTCGGTCGGTCTGCGCTGGGCGCTCAACCCGCAAACTCGGCCTGTTGCTGTTCACTACAAGATGACGCTCGTATTAGCCACCCTTTATGTCTTGCGCGGTCAAAACCCTGCAGATGGTAATGCGGGAGGTGCCGAGCTTCCCGCCCTTAAATTCTTTTAACACGGCTCCAGTGGTGTACCTGTGTTAGTGCCAGTGCGCGCCAGTCCCGTGCCGATGGAGCACTTGGAGCACTTGGAGTGCGGTCATTAACCTCACGTCCAGGACCGGGGAGCTAAGAAGCGCACCCAGTTGGCCGGACGCTCGGCATCGGGTTACGGGCTAGAGAGCCCTAGCCCCGGGGGTGCGCGGTCGCAGGGCCATAACACGTCTCCGAGGGATAGTTCCGTGTACCAGGTTGCCCCTTAACTGCAGAACGCACCCTCTTCCTCGACAAAATGTCAAAATTCTTTTAACATGAAGCACATGTAGTGGCGGTGCCGATAGGTGTACATGAGGCCGGCGCCGTTCCTCCTGCTGCTCCTCCCGGCTCCCTCCCTCCAAAAAATCAGCGACGGCGTCGCCAAGCTGAGCTCGCAGGATACGGAGCAGTACCTCACCAAGTTCTCCTTTTCGCCGCGTGTGGCGTCGCTGCTCAACATCTCGTTTCACGTGGCGGAGCGCGAGTACTTTGACCGGCACCAGCACGAGCTCACGCTCTGTCTCTACTCGGACACCGATTGGCCCCGCTTCCGCCGCGCGATGACCAAGGGCTCGCTCTGCTCCGAGAGGCAGCGGCTGGCGTCGTGGTCGGCCAAGGTGCAGCCGGAGGTGACCTACCGGCCAGGCACGGGATACCGGCACGACTTTGACTGGGCGGGCACGCTCACCGCGCCAAAGGGGCGTGCGCACTACTGGTACGCCATGCTGATGGACTGCTACCTCGAGGAGTACGACGCCCACCCGCCGCCCCTCAACTACCGGCTCATCTTCATGAACGGTGGCGCGCTCTCTGTGGCGCGTATGGACAGTCTCTCTCAGCGCCACCCAAGCTCGCACGACCCCTCCGAACGAGTCGCCTCCCAGCCTCCTTCTTCTCTCCCCGCAGGCGAGTCGCACCTGCCTGCGGACGAGTCGGGCATGGCGACCATCAACGGGCTCGCGCTGCTCGGCATGCTCGCCCACGGCGCGAAGACGCAGAAAGCCGCGCGGCGATAACAGTTGTGCTGGCGAACAGGCATGCTCGCCTACGGCGCGCTCTACTTTTTCTCGCTCTACTCGCGCTTCGCCGAGCAGCGGCAGCTCGCTGCGCCCCGCCACCGTCGTGTCGGCACGTCTCTTTTCACGGCGCCCTTCTTTCTCTTGGTGTTAGGCAGCTGCACCTCATCACCGTCGTGTTTGCGCTCGCCTACGCGCTGCAGGCCGCCTCGGTCCTGTGCGAGCTCTGCCACTTGCGCGCCTTCGCCGCGGACGGCAAGGGCTTGCGGTGGCGGCACACTTGGCTGGCGCTTGACTTTGGCTCTGGCCTGCTGCAGTCCATCTCCGAGCTCTCGATCTCGCTGCTCCTCATCTCGCTCGCCTTCGGTTGGACGCTCGGCCTCGAGTCGCAGGAGCCGCTGGCGGGGCTGGGTGGCAAGCTGCTCGAGGGACTCCACCGGCCGGCGAGGTCTAGCCGAGATGTGGCCGAGACCTAGGTGAGAGACCGAGGCGAGAGACAGCCGACAGCCAACAGACGGCCGACAGACAGCCGACAGACGAGAGACGAGAGACAGCCCGCGATCTCCCCACCCCTCCCTCCGGCGTCGCATCCCCGGCCTCGCTCGTCGCGAACGGTCAGGCGCGGCTGCTGCGCGGGCTGCAGTCCCCTTCCGTCTGGCTGCTCAGCGGCATCGGCGGCGCGCAGCTGCTGCTGCAGGCGGCGGGCCGGAGGTACGAGGAGGACTTCAACCACTTCCACGACCACGAGCACTGGCCCGGCCTCGCCCTGCTCGCCATACGGCTCGGGCTCTGCGCCCTGTTCGCCTTCGCGCTGCGCCGCTCGCTCTCGCTCGAGCGGCAGCCCGAGGTGAAGTGCTGGCGAGATAGCACCTCAGCCCCGCTACTGCGTCGCCTGCGTTTGGTGTCCGCCGCCGCCAGCCGGGAAGGCCAGGTAGGAGATTGCGTGAGGCGGACCACGTCAGCCGTCTCCGCGACTCTCCTAGGTCGCCTCCTTTCTGCGGCGGCTTCTCGTGTACGGCCTCTGCTGGTTCCTCTGCCTGCCGCTGCTCGTCCTTCTGGCGGCGCTGCTGCCGCCGTACCGCCGCCACCAGCTCGTCGCGGGCGGCGCGATCGTGCTGCAGGCGGCTGCGCTCGCCCGAGATGCGCCGAGATGCGCCGGGATGAGCCGAGATCATGCTGCAGGCGGCTGCGCTCGCGCTGCTCTCGCGCCTCTTTGTCACTTCGTCCGAGTTTTACAAGATCTCGTCGCTCTCGCACCTCGGCTTCTCGCTCGAGGGAGGGCCGGGGCTCGGCGGAGGCGCCTCTCACACACTCACACACTCTCACACTCACACACACACACACACACTCACACACACACACACACACACACACACACACACACACACACACACGCATCACACACACACACACACACGCATCACACGCACACACGCACACATACACGATCACAAACTCACCGCTCACCCACGCACACTGGCCTTGCACTTGTGAATGCCGTGGGCTCCAAGTCTAGCGGAGACGTTGACCTGACCTCACCCCACCGCAGGCGCCTCTCGCCTCAAGGGCAAGCTCTGCGTTGACTGAGCGGCGCCACGGCGCTGTGTCTCGCGGCAGCGGATCCCGTTACTCAGGCCACTCGGGGGGTAGGAGGGTGGGGGAGGGGGGGCGCAGCCGGGGAGGGAGGAAGGGGAGGCGAGCGGCCCTGATGGTGCCGCCGAACGCAAACATCAAATACCTCGCCCCCCCTCCCCGCCACCGATCGCGCGCATGTCGCACAGGGTGGCGGCCTTCTTCGCTCTGCGCGGCTTCCGTTATCGATTTCCCTCTTGTGTGGGTCGCGCCAGCACAGCGAGAGGAGCCGAGCTGTCAGACGCGACGCGAGAGAGATTCTGAAGTGTCGGCGGAGAGAGAGGTCAAAACTAGGGCGTAGGGGGGCGCGCGGGGGGTAGCGCTACATGTACACGATGTGTAGTGGGGCGCAAAAAGAGTGACAAGACACAAGAGACACGAGTCGCTCAAAAAAGAGACGAGAGCGGAGAGAGAGCGTGTTAACCCGTTAAGAGACAACACACGTGAGAGTAATTTGAAATTTCGAATTCAACTTATGGCGGCAGGGGCACACTCGAGACCTCTCCTCACCCGGTCGCATCGAGCATGACGCTCTCCACGTTTGAGCTCGCGTCCTGCTCGAGCATCGCCACGCACGCGTCCGCCACCGCCCGCGGCGCGAGGAACTTTGACGTGTCGACCGACGGCGCGCCCGCCGCCGCAAAGCCGCGCGCCGCGTCCTCCCACCACGGCGTTGCGACGCCCGCGGGGCATACGAGGCCGCACTTGACGTGCGAGTGGCCACCTGCCTTGAGCTCGGCGCGCAGGCTGAGCACGAGGCCGTTGACCGCGTACTTGGTCGCGCAGTAAGGCGCGGCCTGCGCGCTGGGCCGCGAGCCCATCACGCTGGACGTGACGACAACCTGCGACTGCCGGCCAGCCTTGAGCGCGGGAAGGGAGGCTCTGAGCCAGAGGAAGACACCGCGCACGTTCGTGCGAAACATCTGGTCGAAGCGCTCGACGTCGAACTCCTCCAGCGGGTAGCGCCCTCCGCCGATGCCGGCGTTGATGCAGAGGCCGAAGAACGGCACGCCGTCGAAGAACTTCATCGCCTGGTGGCGCAGAGGCAGGGCTGACGCTAGAGCTTCAGGCAGGTGGCAAGTCGGGTACGGGCCTCGTCAAACTGCCGATTGACGGTGGGCTCGTCGCCCGTGTCGCCCGACGAGTAATGGATGCTTCGAGAGCCAGACGCTTCGATCGACTGCACCAGTGGCGCCAGCTCCGTCTCGGCCAGCGGGCGAGTTCCCGTGACATAGACCTTGTACCGCTCGCCTCCATTTTGCAGCAGCGCTGTCGCCAGAGCGAGGCCGATGCCGCTCGAGCCTCCAGTGATGATGACGCCGCGCCGCGCTGGCTTCGACGCCGTCATGGCGGCCGCGAGCTTCATCGAAAGAGCTTTCCGGCACACCTCAACGAAGCCTTCTCCTTTCCACCCTCGAGAAAACAAAGAATTCATCGTGCGTCCAAGTGCTCCAAGGTGATTACAAGCGACTCGAGGGGCCAGGATACGCCGCGAGGAGGACGGAGTTGCGCCGAAAGGCGAAAGAAGCCGCGAGAGCAAGGGAACGGCAGGCGGCGGCGTCGCAGGACGAGACAGAAGAGAACGACGCGACAGAGGAGGAAATGACAAGGGAGAGAACGACGAGAGTGGGACGACCGCGAGGTGGCATGAAGGCTGCAGCGAGAAGCGGCGAGAGACTGCGAAGAGAGATAGGAAGAGGCAGACTCCCTAGGGTGGGCGACGGCTAGCGCATCACACACCTCTCCTTAAAATCCCTGTGTGGTGGCGGCGTGCCGTCCTCCCATCCCTCCCTTGGGTTGCCCGTTTTCTTTCTTTTTTGGCACCAACAGTGGTGGCGGCGTGCCGTCCTCCCATCCCTCCCTTGGGTTGTCTCTTTTCTTTCTTTCTTTTGTGATTACAAGCCACGCCGAACGTACTGAACGCAGAGCCGAACGGGAGGAAGCCGGGGAAGACGAACCCGAGGAGGGCGAAACACCTGTGGTAATCCCGTCGGCAGCTGTCACGATGCACCCGAAGGGGACCCCAGCGCCAGCATCAACCATCATCCGTGGAGGTACAAACAAGTGTTCGAAGAGAGAGTGGACCTGAGCAACGATACGACCTGGCGGCAAATGATCGCAGTGGGCGTCAGAACACAGAAGACTCGTCCTTGCCGCTTGCGCGAGGAGAGCTCGATAAACTCGAGGGGCCAAACTATGCCGCGAGGAGGGCAGAGCTGCGACGAAAGGCGAAAGAAGCAGCGAGAGCAAGGGAGCGGCAGGCGGCGGCGGCGTCGCAGGACGAGGCAGAGGAGGGCGACGCGACAGAGGAAGAAGCGACCAGGGAGAGAACGACGAGAGTCGAGAGTGGGACGACCGCGAGATGGCATGAAGGTTCGCCCCTGTTGTACAAGAAAGAAAGAAAGAAAACGGGCTGCAAGTGCACGGAAACCCATGGGAGGGATGGGAGGACGGCACGCCGCCACCACACAGGGATTTTAAGGAGAGGGGTGTTCGCCCACCCTTTGGGCGTCCGCCTCTTCCTATCTCTCTTCGCAGTCTCTCGCCGATTCGCGCGACACCCTCCCTTGGCTTCTCTGTTTTCTTTCTGTCTTTCTTTCTTTTAGGTGTACCTGTGTTAGTGCCAGTGCGCGCCAGTCCCGTGCCCAGTGTTGTGCGAGGGAGTTTTGTTGTAAAATTCTTTTAGGGACACCCTGAGATGTCATGAGAAAGAAACCCGCGATGTCAACTGCGCACAGGGCGTCTGTCCTTACAAGATCCTGCTCGTGCAGGTGGGGACCTGTCCTTCTCCCACCCCTCGTCATTGGTGTGTCCGTTTTTTTCTTTATGTCTGTCGACGGGTTGCCGAAATTCCACCCATCACAGATTCATTCACAGTCTGAGAAGGAGCATCTAAGACTTCCCAACAACAAAGAAACCTACAATTACACAAACAACTCTAACCAATTTGCAATTACAGTCTAGGAGGAGAAATTCTTGCATTTTTGCTCTCTGCGAAGAGAGCAGCTGCAAGCCCATCCACCCTTATTGCTTATATTTCAGGAGCCCGGTGTTCGGCTGGTGTTCGGCGATTGAGCGCCTGCCTCCCTCTCCTCTCGCTCTCCGGCTGCGGCCTGCGCGCATGTGACCGTTGCGGCCATGCGTCCTCCGAGTCGGCGTCTAGCGCGCGCGATAAGGATTTTGCTTGCCTTCCCTGGGACCCCGTGTTGCATTTCCGACTGTCACTGTGGTCTGTGCGATTTCGGGGCCCGGGGTTGTGCGTTTGTGAGAGATTTTTAGCAATACCAAACAACTCTAACACTCACACGTCATTTGGGGCCTGGCTGGAGCCGTTGTTGCGTTTGTGTGAATGTCCCACCCCCCTGCGCGCGGGCCTTCTAGGCCCGCGGGCAGTCTCCCCCCATTCCCAGGGCCTCCAGGGCTCGCACCTCAACCTCTCACAGACCAGCGCGCAGCGGCATAGGCGTTTCTTTGTATTTTCTTCTCAATAACAAGGCTGTGAAATAGGAGGTATTTTCTTCTCAATAACAAGGCTGTGAACAAGTCTACCCCCCAGGGCTGGCTGCGTGCCGGTTGCGTTAGGACCTCTGCGGCCCTCCGCCCAATGCCCAAATCGAAGCGCGCGCAGAAGGTTACCCTCTCGAAGACGGTGAGCAAGGGCCGGGAGCGCAAGGTCGCCATCATTGACGAGGTGCGGGACTGCGTCGACCGGTACAAGTCGGTGCTCGTGTTCGAGGCCAACAACATGCGGAACGCGGCGCTCAAGGACGTGCGCGTAAGGCTGCGGTCCAGCCGCATCTTCTTTGGCCGCAACAAGCTGATCGCCGCTGCGCTCGGCCGGACGGCTGCGGACGCGTACCGCGCCGGCCTGGACGAGGTCGCCGACGGCTTGCTCGGCGGCGAGGCTGGGCTCATCTTCACAGACGAGTCGCTCGAGGCGGTGCAGCAGGCTCTGGCCGAGTCTCGGGTGCCCGAGTATGCGCGCGCGGGCTTTGAGGCGACGGAGGACGTCGTCTTGCCGCAGGGCGTGCTCAGCCAGTTTGCGGGCTCGATGGAGCCGTACCTGCGCAAGCTGGGGCTGCCGACCAAGCTGCAGGCGGGCGCGGTGCAGCTGCTGTGCGACTACACGGTGTGCAAGGCGGGGGACGTGGTCAGCTCGGACCAGGCCAAGCTGATGCAGCTGCTCGACGTCAAGCAGGCCCTGTTTGAGCTGACGCTCACCTGCCGCTGGAGCGAGGGGCAGTTCCAAAGGCTCGCGGCCTGAACTCTTCATGGCTCAGGGCACCAGTGCGTCCGGTCCCGTGCCGCTTGCGTCCGGTGCGCCCGGGCAACTGGCCGAGAGCGGCTTATGTCTTGCCCTTGCGTGGGCTCAGCCCCTGTGTGGGGCGAGGGCCCTCTGGGGCGAGGCCTCTGCGCGCGACCGCGAGCTCCTCCTGCACCGGCGGAGTGCACTCGACGGCGGTGCGGTGTGAGCGCCGTCGTCTCCCGGACGCGTATAAATGTGTGATGTCCGTTTTAGCAAGCGGTGCGGACGTGCGGTCGCGCTCGGCGCTGCCACGCTTGCGCTGCCGGCGCTGCCGCGCCTACCGCCTAGCCGCGCACCGCGCAGCGCGCTGCAGCGGCGCTGGCGCCGTCGGTCTCTGCGTGTGAGGCGCCGGCCGCGGCGCGGCGGGGTCGGTGCGTAGGTCGGCGTACTGGCTACTGCGTTTTATGCGTACTGAGATGCAACTGACCCTCTCGCACTCACATTACTCTAGATACACACACCGCGCGCCATGCACGTAAGCTGAGCTGCTGGGTCAGCGACAGCGTGGCGCGGACGCGGGACCGCGGAGATTTCTTCGGAGGGTGATCGTGTGCCGATGGTATTACGCATTTACGCGCACTACGTATATGCGACTCGGAGAGTGACACAGTGTCCTGGCTTGGGAAGGCATACATGCGTTTTGCGTTTTTGAGACCTCTTTGTGCGTCTCATACACCCAGGGTCAGCGGCGGATCGCTCAAGCCCCGCGAGCAGTAACTGAGTTTGCAGTGTTTGCACGAGACCAGTCCGAGAGTGCGCAATTCGGCAAACCACGGACCGGATCAACGAGAAGTGTGCTCAATCGAAGAAGCAGGTCACGGTCTCTTGCCGGCGATGGGCCGCATCCGGCTGTGAGCAGAGATCACCTGGCCAATAGTCACAGGCACCCCAACCGGGAGCGCTGCACTCAGGTTGTGGCTCTGACCCAACGGCTCCGCCACCCGCGCCTCTGCATGTCGCGCAGCATGCCTGCGAGTCTGGTCGCCGAGCAGAGCACTGCGACACATGGTGACGCCCGTCGCGGCCGTGCCCAGAGCAAAGGGGAAGGCGCAGAAGAGGGCGGCGCTGCCCAGAACCTCCATTCTCGCGACCTTTCGGTCGTGCGTCCTCCAAAAGCGCCAAATCGTAACGAGCTTAGTTTCATTACACGCGCGTTGCTTCTTTCGGCATTTTTGCTGGCGGGCCTTGGCGCGGCGTGAGAGCTCAGATTGTTTGTAAAACGAACTCGGGGGGCACAGGACGCGGCACGGACGGGGCACACACGCCAGCCAGGCTACAAAAGCACAAACACGGAGGAGGGAGGCACGTATGGGGGAGGAGGACAGGGTCCACACCTGCACGAGCAGGATTTTGGAAGGACGATCAGGGGCACAGGTGGGGCTCTCCTGCTCCTGACAAGGGACACGACAGGCTCGCAGCGCGGTGCACGGTGGACTCCCAACTCCACTGGCGGTCTCATCTCAGCAGCAGGGTTTGCGTTGGGAATGACGAAAGAATTTTTAGTTAGCCGGGACAGGGTTCCGGCTCCTAGCCAGATTGGGGGTCTGTTGACCACGGTTAGACCCTATGCAAAGGTAGGTAGGTCCGGTTTTGACCGCCCCAGAGGGTCCGGTTTTGACCGCCCCAGAGGGCCCCGCAATAGGTAGGTAGGTGGTGGTGTGTGTGTGTGGGGGGGGGGGTGGGGGGGGGGGGGGGGTGAAAAAAACCGTTTCGCGCGGGAGACGGCGCGTTTAGCCGCGAACGGGGCCATGCTCTGGGGCGGGCTCGCGAGCGGCGCGCACCGCGGTACAAGCCGGCGCGCGGCGGGTGCTGGGAGCCTATTCACAGAGGGCTAACGGGCATTTTTTCGCTTCGCTGCGCGGCCTGGGAATAGGTAGGTAGGTGGGGCACGGAGCCTGGCGATTGGCGCCCGCAATAGGTAGGTAGGTAGGGCGTTTTGGTGCGAGTCATGGTCAACAGACCCCCTATCTGGCGCGCAACCTTCTTTTGTAGACCGCTAGGATTGAGAGAGCAGCCTCGCTCTCAATCCTAGAAGTCGAAGGATTGTGAGCAGCTCCTCGCAATCGTAGCATCTCTGTACGATTGTGAGCGCCTACGGCTACGCTCGCAATCCTACATCTTCTAGGACTAAGAGCAGCTCCGCTCCCAAGGTGACTGGTGACGCCTACGACTACTACCAGCGCTCGCAATCCGAGCAAAGTCTAGGATTGCGAGCAGCTTTGCCCACAATCCGAGCATCATACCTCCGATTGCGAGCAGTAGCGCTCGCAATCCTAGAACTTTCGCCGATTTGGGAGTGCCCTCTGTGCGCCTGCTAGCAATGGAAGCAATCCTTGGATCTTGGCGGTCTAGGGTACCATACTTGACACCTCTCCTTGGCGCCTCGTCTTTTCCTACCAAACGAGCGCGATCTGGGGGCGGGTTACAGCGTCTGGGGGCGGGCTACATGCGCTCGCGGGGCTGCCCCACGTGGCGGGCCTCGAGCCGATGGACCCAGCCGAGGTGCCCAACCAGTTGGAGCGGCGCCGACGCGCTCGCCTTCCCTGGGACAGGGGTGCAATATGCCCCAGTATATCCCAATATATTCACAGCGCATGTCACAGCACTTCTTCAGTAGAGAGCCGGTGAGCCGGTGTGTGTGCCAGTCCGCGCCAGTCCGCGCCCTTGTCGTGCCAGTGTGCTGTGAGAGAGGCTTGTATTTTAAGAATTCTTCAGTAGAGAGAGAAAGCGAGGGACAGTTCGCGGAACTGTGGCCTGGGTGTCGCGCCGGATCGCGCGTCTTCCACCTGGTCATTCCGACGCTCCAGCCGGCTCGTCCTCGAGTAGCGAGAAGTCGGCTTTTCAGAGGAGGCGCAGCCGAGCCGCCAGTCCTCGCAGCGCTTCAGACATGCTACGCACGCTCGCGCGAGGCGGCGCGGCGACGGTCGGCATCGGCGGGACAGCCTTGGCGGCGTACGCCTACGGCGATCCCGGATTCGGCCGGCAAGTCTCGTTTTGGCGCGTCACTGGGCCGGCGGTGCTGAGCTACGCCGCCTGCTCTGCAAAGCACAAGAAGAGCGACGCTGACACGAAAGCGCGGGCCTTTGCTGCGCTGCACGACCACTATTCGAAGGTCTCATTGGACCTGATCCTGGAGCTTCGAGGGCTGTACATCAAATTTGGGCAAGCGGCCGCTTCAAGCCCCTTCGTGCCTCAGGCGTACCGTACGCAGTTCAAGGTGCTGCAGAATGACGTGCCGAGCGAGGATTTCGCGGCCATCAAGCAGGTGGTGGAGGAGGAGCTAGGTCCCCTCGACGAGCTCTTCGAAGAGTTCAGCGAGTCTGCGTGCGGTGCAGCTAGCATTGGCCAGGCTCACGTCGCCAAGCTGCGGACAACAGGCGAGACAGTCGTCGTGAAGGTGCAGTACCCGTCCGCCGCTCGCATATTTTTGGCCGACGCGCAGTGCCTCCGCACGCTCATTTCCCTAGCCAACCCGGAGGCGCTGCCCGCCTTTGAGGAGTTCGAGAAGCAGCTGGCCCTCGAGCTCGACTACCGCGCGGAACTCGCCAACCTGACCGCCATCTTCGACGCCATTATGCCTACCTTTGCCGACCGCGTCGTCGTGCCGCGGGCGCACAGCACGCTCAGCACGGGCAGGGTGCTCACTTTAGAGTACCTGCCTGGGCCGAAGCTCGAGGGCGAGATGCGGCGGCAGATGGCCGCGCTGGGGATGCGCGTCGACGAATCTGAGTCGATGCGCGACTGGATCCAGCGCCTTGAGGCGCAGACGACGCAGCCGGCAACGGAGGCCGACGACGACGAACGAGAGCCGTGGCGCGCGTGGCTGGGGCGTGTCGGCGCGCGCGTGGTGGGCATCGACGCGGCGCTGTGGGTAGTTGGCAAGGTGCTTGCCACGGGCGGCGCTGCTGGCGGCGCGGGCGGGCTGCGGAGTCAGGAGGAGCTGCGCACGTGCTTGCACTCGCTCGTCGAGGTCCACGGCTTCGAGATCTTTGTGCACGGGCTCTTCAATGCGGACCCTCACCCGGGGAATCTCATCGCGATGGGCGATGGGAAGGTCGGGCTGATCGACTACGGTCAGTGCAAGCGTCTGGAGGAGGGGCCAAGACGAGCTATTGCGGAGCTCATGGTCAAGGTGGCCGACGACGCGCCGCACGCAGAGGTGGCGGCGGCGTTTCGCCGCGTGGGCGTGCGCACGGAGCATGGAGGCGACGAGTTCCTCGGCAAAATGGCGCGGCTGATGTTTGGGCGCGTCTCGGTCGAAATGCTCGAGCCCAAGTGGCACCGCGATCTGCACAAGACCGACAAGATGACGCATTACCCGCCCGACCTGCTCATGGTGCACCGCGTCGCCCTCATCCTCCGCGGCCTCAGCGTCGCGTGCCGCGAAAACGTGTCGATTGCCGAGCTTTGGCGTCCGCACGCCGCGGCCGCCTTGGACGCCGGGCCGGACTGACGTTCGGAGACGGAGCGGTTTTTACTGTGGTGGTGTCGGTTTTCATTGCTCAGTGCTTCTCGCGCGCGCGGGGGGGAGGGGGGGGGGGGGGGCGTGCGCTAGGCGACAGTGCAGCGGTCCGGCGGATCGCGTCGACTCTTGTTGTCGTCCCTCTACCCCCTGTCCCCTGGAAGCTGAACTGGCACCCCACATCGTTTGAAAAATCCTCCCCCGCGCCCATTCCCTGCCCTCTCCCGGTCCCGGGACCCGGCTCCCGCCACACACTCCCCGTCAGAGCCCTCTCCCCTCTTGCACAACAGGAATTTTGACAATTAACCAACTCAGAACCTGCTGAACAAGCTCCTCACTGAAATAAGACAATGGGCATGCCCATCCCGGAGTGGTTCGACCCCACACAAACCCGGAGGGGTGATGCTAGGGTGATGAGAGCTGCCGCGGTCGCGGCGGTCTCAGGCCCAGTGAGGTAGTGCGCCAGACTATCCCGGATCCTGCTGAACAAGCTCCTCTTGTAGCTCGATCGGTCACACCGCCATCGCCGCCGACGTCTCCCAGGGAGATGATGGAGAGGGGGGAAGACACTGCTCGATCTACCCTCTGGGGTCCCCTCAGCAGCGTGCACCTCGATCCTGTACCGTGTTTGTTATGACCCCCCCCCAATGAACACACCAGTGAGGGAGGGCGAGACGATCGAGGGGTCCCGTACCATGCGGAATCGACCCTATCAAGTGTTCAAGTGCTCAATCTAAGAGGGCGCAAAACCGGAGGGGTGACGGGATGCTGTCGTTGATGGTCTCAGGCCCAGTGAGGTAGTGCATCGGACTATCCCGGATCCTGCTGAACAAGCTCCTCTTGTAGCTCGATCGGTCACACCGCCATCGCCGTCGGGGAGAGGGGGGACGACACTACTTCGGCAGCGTGCACCTCGATCCTGCACCGTGTTTGTTATGACCCCCCCCAATGAACACACCAGTGAGGGAGGGCGAGACGATCGAGGGGTCCCGTACCATGCGGAATCGACCCTATCAAGTGCTCAAGTGCTCAAGAGGGCTAGAGCAAGAAGAGAGAGGGAGAACACAAGGCAAATAACGCACGTCCTCCCCGTTCGCGCATCGCGGCGGCCGACCGACACAATGCACGAGCGCAAGGTGTGCTTCCTTGAGCACTTGAGCACTGGATAGGGTCGATTCCGCATGGTACGGGGCCCCTCGATCGTCTCGCCCTCCCTCACTGGTGTGTTCATTGGGGGGGGTCATAACAAACACGGTGCAGGATCGAGGTGCACGCTGCCGAAGCAGTGTCGTCCCCCCTCTCCCCGACGGCGATGGCGGTGTGACCGATCGAGCTACAAGAGGAGCTTGTTCAGCAGGATCCGGGTTGGACTGGCGCACTACCTCACTGGGCCTGAGACCGCCGCACGCTTCCCGTCACCGTCTCGGGTTTGTGTGGGATCGAACCACTCCGGGATGAGCAAGCTCATCGTTCTGAGTTGTGCTGTCTCTTGCCTGGTTAATTGTCAAAATTCCTGTTGTGCAAGAGGGGAGGGGGCTCTGACGGAGTGTGTGGCGGGAGAGGGCAGGGAATGGGCGCGGGGGAGGGGGGGGGGCTGGGGGGGGCTCAGCCGTGCAAAAAGCATCAATTAATAATAGTAGTGAAGAAATATTGCTCGGCCGTTCATGAAGTCCGTCTCGATCTGGAGGAGACGGGTCAACCCCGTGAGGAACAGATCAGGTTCACATTGTCGTAGCCGGAGGGGATGTTGACCTTTAGCTCACTCGGGCAAACTCGATGAAACGGCGGACGGAAAACGCGTTCGCGGCCGCTCGCTCGCCGGAGAGCTATGCATGAAGCGGCCGGCGCGCGCGCCACCGCAGCTCACCGATGGAGCTCGCGCCGCGGCTCAATCCACAGGCGCAGCAGCACGGCGACGCATTCTCCAAGCACAGTGCCTGACGTTGCAGGTGCTCAGAGAGCGAGCAATAGTCGACAAAAGCCCAGATCTGAGCATAGCGGATCTCCATGTTGGTCGCGCCCTGCGAGAGGACAACCGCGGGCCTCGGATGCTTGCCCGGACGCGGACCCGCCGTGCGAGTTGCAGACCCGGAGGAGGCCAACCCAGCTCACCCCCAGAGAGGCCATGCCCAGGGTCAACCATAAAAGGGGGGTCCGTCCGTCCGTCTGTCTCGTGTGCTTCCTAGTCACCGCAGGCCTTTGCCTGCTGCACTCGACGTCCGTGTCTCTGGGCATCATCCCGAGCAGCCACCCGCCAGAGGACGGCATCCTCGGACACGGCTTTGGCGAGAAGCCCAAGAATGTGGACCCTTGGGACGCGGCTCACCGCTGGAAGGCGGTCGCCGAGAACCAGAAGGAGAACTTCCCGATTGTGCTGGCAATCTACTGGGCCACAGTCCTCGTCGGCGAGGCGGCGCCCGTGGAGGCGGTGAAGGGAAGCAAAGCGCCCTACTTCATGGTTGCGTACCTCCTCCTCCGCGTCGTCTACGCCGCATGCTACATCGTCGCCCTGGCGCCGTGGCGCTCACTGGCGTTCGCAGCCTCCAATTTCGGTGGGATGTACACCGTCTTTGTCATCGGTGTCTACCGCGCCTGCAAAGTCAGCACGCCAGCCCCGGCCGATGACTACGACCACTTCGCCACAGACGGTCCCGCGCCTCGCCGCTAATAAGTTTGCGGCACGCCCCGCACCGTCCGCTGTGCCGCATTTTTTGCCCGGAGTGAAAAGTCCAACGCGCTCGTCGGTGGCGGTGTCCCTCAACCTGCGCCGCGCTCGGCGAACCTCGACAGCGCCTTCGGTGGCATGCAGCTCTTTGCGCCTGAAGCCTGGAGTGAAGCTCCTCTGCTGCTCACACGCTCTGCACAGTTGGCACAGCCCACTGTGCGGCTGCCACAGCTGTGACAGCGATGGGCTCGCCCTCACTGGCCCTCAGTCACTTGTGCTGCGGCTTGTGTGAGCGACACTGCTCGGCGACTGCCGGCACACTGTGAGACCATGGGTGTGAAGTTAAACCACGCTCCACGCTACAGTACCAGCGCTTGTGGTCACATCGGCCCCGAGGCCAGATCCTTCTACTCTGTTGATGACAAGACTTGTCTACTGGCTGGAGCTGAGCAGGGAGGGCCCGGCGCACAACCCCTGTGGTCAACTCGCTCACGGGGTCCAGGCTGCGGTGGAGTCCAGGCTCCAGCACACCCCGTAGAGAATCATCGTACTTCGTAATATGAGGTGATCGATGCACCGTTCACAGTCCGTTGACCGTTGCAAAAGGAAACGGGGACAATGCGATGCAGTCTTCTCCGGCACAGGCGCACTCTCTCTCGCTCTCGAGCGCGAGAGCAACGAAAGACGTTGCCCGAGCGCGCACACACCCTTGTACAGATGTGTACACCACGAAACCATAGTCACAGCTCCTCTCGGTCTGGGAAGGCGGGCGAAGCAGGCGCGGTCGGGTAGTCCCCGACCATCTCCTTCGCCGCCTCCCCCTCAGCGGCGATCCAGTGGCGGCAGGAGAAGCCGGGGTGCATCACGGAACGCACCTCGTGCTCGAGCGTGTAGAGGAGCTCGCCCGTGTCCTTGTCAATGTCGCAGAACGAGTGAGGGGAGGTGCGGTGGGCGTGTGGGACGGGGATGGAGTACGCGCCGGGTCGGTGAGGTCCTTGAGCCGAAACTCGCTGTGCCGCAGCGCGTGTGCCAGCGAGTCGTACCGCAGGTGCGGGAAGCGAGGGTTGTTCCACACCAGGCCCGCCTCGCGGCTGCGCTCGTACACGGCGGCGAAGTCGTTTGTGTAGAGCGCGACGTGGTGGCCGTCGTACCGGCGGACGGGCGGCTCGCCTGGCAACGCCTCCGCGAACTGCAGCGACTGGTGGTGCCCGAGCCGCACCACGCAGACGGGCCGCCTCCCCTCTCGGCCAACCTGAGAGGCGGAGGCGGCGGGGGCGGAGGAGGTGACGGTGGGGGCAGCGAAGGCCCGAGTGCGCGCGGTGGCGATCTCGCGTGCTCTCGGGCCACCTCGGCGGTGGCGCCAAAGAGCCGCAAATAGAAGCGGCAGATGCCGGCGGCGGCGCCTTCTGGGACGTCGAAGCGCACGTACTGGATGCCCAGCCCTCGCGACGGACCGCCGGGCAGCGGCCTCTCCTCGCGCGGGTCGAGAAGCAGCTTCGGACCAAACCAGGTCTCTGCGCCCGCCCACTCGACCGCACGCAGACGGTTGCCAACCGGGCAGGTGATGCGGAGGCTGCCGTCGGCGCCAACCGCGTGCGTAGCGCTGGCGTCCTCCAGCCGCCGCTGCAGCGCTGCCAGCTCCTCAGTGGTGTACGCCAGCCCCACCTCGCCTCGCACGACCTGCGGACGTGGCGTGGTGTGGCGTGCGGTGTGTGGACTTGCGGAGGCAGCCTGGAGCTAGATGAGAGCGCGAAGTGTGAAATAGAGCACGCGAGCATGTGTCTCAGAACCTGCACGGAGTCCTCCGGCTCTCCGACGGGCAAGTGGAACTGCTGGAGGCCAAAGTTCGCCCAGTGGAGGCCCTGCATCGGCCCGCCGGCGGCCTGCACCTGCGAGCAGACGACCGCGCCTCGCGGGTCGTCGGCGCCGCCCATCACGCTGAACCAGAAGCGCGAGAGCTGCTCCGTCCACGTGCCGCCGGCGTTGATGTTGACGTGCTCCAGCGAGATGAGCGGCTCGTACCGGACCGGCAGATGCGGAATCGTGGTGGTCGAGGAGGAGGGCGCAGCAGCCGCGGACGCGACACGAAACAGCAACATGGGGCTGCTTGTGAAGGTAGGCGTGCGTATGAGCTCACTAGCTAGAGCTCACAGAGGAGGCCGTCATCGCATTCGGTTTCCTGGCTTCTTTCTGACTGTCGTTTCTCCCTTCTCGTCCGGGGTTGTGTTTTTGTGTGAAGGTAGGCACACTGCGACCTGGGTTCCGGCTCCTACCCAGATAGGGGGTCTACCCGCCCGGTTAGACCTATGCAATAGGTAGGCAGGTC